GCCAAAGGGGAGCTCCACCGAAGGCCAAGATGTCAGCGCTCGCATGCGGCCGCTGCACACCAATGTCGGCACACCACTCACACGTTTCGTGGCCAAAAGGGAGCTCCACCGAAGGCCCATGTGCCAGCGCTCGCATGCGGCCGCCGCACCGATGTCGGCACACCCCTCACACGGTTCGTGGCCTCATTGGGAGCTCCACCGAAGGCCCAGATGCCATCGTTCGCATGCGGCCGCCGCACCCATTTTGGCACACCCCTCCCACGTTTAGTGGCCTCATGGGGAGTTTCACCGAAGGCCCAGGTGCCAGCGCTCGCATGCGGCCGCCGTGCCAATGTCGGAACATCCCTCACACGGTTCGTGGCCCCGTAGGGAGCTCCACCGAAGGCCCAGACGCCCACCGAAGGCCCAGACGCCAGCCCTCGCACGCGGCCGCCGCACCCATTTCGGCACACCCCTCACACGTTTCGTGGCCCCACGGGGAGCTCCGCCGAAGGCCCAGGTGCCAGCGCTCGCATGCGGTCGCCGCACCCATTTTAGCACACCCCTCACACGTTTCGTGGCCCCATCGGGAGCTCCACCGAATGCGGTGCACAGAACGACGGTGCCCACAACTGCACATGGTTGGGTCCTTCCCCAGGCCAATTATTGTTTCCACGGTGGTCCTAATCGTTTCCAGCTTGCGCCCATTCGTTTTAAAGTTGTTTGCAGATGATCGTGCGGACACGTTTTTTTTGATAGTTTCCGGGTTCCGTTCTTTACTTGATTCCAGGTCCCCGCTGCTGACACACAATACGTACATGCTGGAAACTATAAAGAAACGCCTTGTGCGTTTCCAAGGCGCACTACCCGTCGGTCGTTACATATTTTTGGATGCCCAAGTCCCAATATATACTTTAGGCGCCTTCCTACTTCCATGATCGACTTTGACTTGGTTACCTTCTTATTTCTTCTTCGGGGGGCGGGGGGAGACCCAGTCTGCTTCCAGCGCCTTCCCACCTCACGTTTCTGCCCACGTCTTCTGGCCGACGAGTAAGCTCTTCGGGTCCTTTTGGAGTCCCGAAACAGTGCGGTGACAGACCGTGCTAGCGGTCCGTCACCGCACGGTCCGTCACCGCACGGTCTTGGGACCTTGGAGGCCCCTGTCGCCCGAGACATCCTCGGAGAAGGACCCGAGTCCCAAAGCCGTGCGGTGACCCCGAATCCCCACCGACTCACCGCACGGTGTGGTCACCACCCCATTTGGGGGTCCCCGGGTTCTGGCCCACCGCGCTTCGGCGCGACACGCTGGCCATGGCCCAGTCCCCAGGAGAGTCCTGGAGCAGCATGGGGCCGTCCCCATCGGGAGCGTTCTGGCTCGGCGGCGGGGACCCGAAAGAGGAGGTCGCGGAGGGCTTCTCTCGTGCAGTCAGCGCGCCTGGTGTGGACGCGCGCCTTCATCCTGCATCCAGGGATGGGCTCGTTTTCCACCACCACCATAAGTTGGAGGGGGAGGGGGTCCTCCTCCTCCTCCGCTTCCTCCTCCTCCTCCTCCTCGTCCTCGTCATCCACCTCCTTCCCCCCTCCAACTTGTGGTGGCGGTGGTGGGAAACAGGCCCATCATCCAGGGTACCCTTGTGTCCTTGCCTCCGCGGCACGTCCTTTGCCGTTTTCACTGGTCGGCCGCCGCCAAAAAAATCCCAACTTCATCCTCCAAGTGTTTCGCGCCCTTGCCACCCGTCCTCCATACACGTTTTGACTGCAGGCCCTCCCGGGCTGCTGAGGAGGCCTTCTTGGAAGCCACCGGAGCCCTTCTGAGAGTCCCACTCGTCTTCTTACGATCGAGCATCTGATTAAAATGCCTTCTCCCGAAAAGTTGGACCATCGTTTCTGAATCCAATTGCCGGGAAGCTGGACCACCTTCTTGGGCATACTCGCGGTTTCAGCGCGAACTGCAGAAGTTGGCCCAGGTTTCTTGTAAGCAAGTTTGAGGAAGCTAGCCCGGATGTCTCACGTGATATTTCTTGATCGTAGGCTCGACTGGAGAAGGCCCACCCGCTGTTGCGCGCGAGCTTGCGCCGCGCCTCGGCGCATCTGCACGCAGCGCAGCCTCTGCGCGCGCGGCGCTGGGGCAGCTCTGGAGGAAGAGTGTCCCCCGCGAGGGCTCACGACCCTGGCTCAGAGGAGCAATAATCATTGAGAGCAAATCCCCTTGACCGCCTAATAACACAACCAAGACGTGGCCTCACTGAGGTCCCCGTCTTCGCATTAGGGATCAGATACCTGGGCGGGATGCTCTGATACATTTGCAGAAAGGCCCCCTATCCCGAATGCTTCTGGCCCTACTAACTCAGGCCCCCCCCCCAAAGGGTTAGGGGCACTTTTTGTTTATCAGAGAAGTTACTGCAATCTGATACGTTCTACGTGTCCCGAGATTTCCCCGATATCCAATCGCTCTGCACGGGCTTTAGAAACGAGGCCTGCTAGACACCCCCAAATTCCTGGACCGTATTCCGAGACAAGCGGATCAAGACCTTGACTGCCTTGATACGCCCGTGCTGCAACGTAACACGTACCGTGTTCAGAACGATCGTGTTAACACGTTGCGCGTTGGGTCGGCGCGTGTTGGTCCACGTTTGGGCGTATGTCTCGCGACAGGCTTACCGTGTCAGTCTACGTGCTGGGCTCCGTGTCAACACGCTGCGGGTTGCCTGCTGCGTCTCCTGGCAGCTCAGCCTGGGCCCTACCGAGTCGCTCGCATCACGTCGTCCCAGTCGTGCCGCGGCCTGGGCCGCGTCAGGTGCTCACCGTCGCCATGGACCGGCGGGGCCACGTCGTCGCCTCCCTGGGCTCGGGGCACTCGCAGGCGGGGGCGGCCCGGGGCCCCAGGCGAGCGGACGACGAGCGGGCCGTACGAGGGGGGGGCAGGGCCCAGGCCGGGAGCCTCGCGTCGTGGAGCGAGGCAGCACGCCCGAAGTCCACGTGCCCTGATGCGCCCGCCGTGAAGCGCGGCACGTGCCGTGCTCAGAACGGCCGTGCTGACTCGCTGCGTGTGGGCTCGGGGCGTGCTGGCCCACGCTTTGGCGAGCGCATGGCGCCAGACCTACGTCTGCGGTCTGCGTGTTGCGCTCCGTGCCAACACGCCACGAGTTGCGTGCTGTGTGTCGGGGCAGCCAAGGGCCCCGAAGCTTCATGCCGTGGAGCTAGCATCGGCGTCACCCCCACATACTTATACTATGTGTGCGTCGCCCCCGCCCCCCCCCCAGGGGCGACGCGCGCGCACCGAGAAGTCGTCTAGTATAAGCGTCGTGGCGGCGCTTTCTGGCCACACCGCTCGGGAAACGACATACTACAAGATGGGTCTACTATATGTTCGGGTCGGACGCGCGCCTCCAAGGAAGGACATCAGCAGCACACGTGAAGCCCCATCCCTCCTCCAGGGCGACGAGGGCACGAGCGCAGAGGGGGGAGCGAGCGATGAAGGCGGCAGGGCAGAGGACACCGAGGGGGCCTGCGCCCCTCCTCTCTCTCTGCCTCGAGGCCGGGCGGAGGCCCCCCCCCCCCCCGGAGAGGCTCTGCCACCTCAGGGCCCATGCGGGCCCCGGGGCCATCCAAGAACGGCTCGGGAGGAAGACTCCAAGGAGCTTTCAAGAGACATCCGAAGAGACTCCTGGAGACATCCAAGAAGCCTCTGGCCATTCTGCTCGCCCTCCTCCTCCTCCTCCTCCGCCTCTTCCTCATCCGCCTATTCCTCCCCCTCCTCCCTCCTCTCTCCTCCCCTCCTCCCCATCCTTCTCCTCCTCTTCCTGCTCCGATTCCTCATCCTGCTCCTGCTTATTGCTTCGCTTGACTGCCCGCCTAGACGCGAGTGGCACCATCGTAGCGCACAGCCGCAGCGGCCAAAGGCAGCGCCCAACGCGGGCCGCGGCAGCGACGAGCGCATGCACCGTACAGCTCTTTTGGACGAGAGGCCATGTCAAGGGAGGACAAAACCACCCGGACCCGACAATGGGCGTGAGCTCAACGGCCCTGGGCGTTTGCTAAGCAGCCCTGCCCTGTTCGATTCCTTCTGTGGGTGCGTCTACCAAACGGTTTCGCGTGTCGGGGTGCTTGTTATGGGGGTGGATTTTCTGCCCTCTGCACAGGGCTGGTTGGGTCGGTGCAGACGCACGGGTCGCCTGTCTCACGGTGGACCGCGCGGTCTCTCCCAAGTCTCGCGTGTTGCCGCTGCGTGCCCAGCCGTCGAGCCGTGTGTGTCACCCGTTCCGGGCCCTGGGCCTCCTCGACGGGGTCGGAGCAGGTGGGTTCGGAGGGTCGCGCCGCATCGCCGAGGCATCGGCGATGCATCGGCAAGCCGTCGATCGGCGTCACCCCAACATACTTCTACTATGTGCGCGTCGCCTCCCCAGGGGCGACGCGCGCACCGAGAAATCTTATAGTATATGCGTCGTGGCGGGCGCTTTCTGGCCACACCGCTCGGGAAACAATATACTACAAGATGGGTATACTAGATGCTCGGGTCGGACGCGCGCCTCCAAGGCGGACATATAGCATTAGTATGTCTCTGTGCGTCCCACTCCAGGCATCTCGGGGGTCTCGTGGCGGCCGCTGGGATGCCCCTGGAGTCTCTTGGGTCCATCTCGGAGCCCCGAGCGGTCTGGAGGTAGCTCGCTTTGTTGGCCCCTCTCGGGGTCGTCTTGGAGGGCTGCTGGGCCCCTCTCGGGAGCCTCGGGAGACATCTCGGCGCGATCCTGGGGGCCTCTTGGGCCGCCTTGGGCGATTTTAAACCCGCAGGGGTGGTACTATTAAAACTATACGGTGTTTCAATGACTTGGGTTTCGTGGCCTGGCCCCGAAGACGGTCCTCTCGGCCTGTTTGCCAGCGTGGTTCTCAAAGAGTGGGTTCTTGCATTCTCGGTGTGTGTCATTGGTGGTGCAACCCGCGCAGTGAAATCGAAGCGGTGGCTCTGGTTCCATCTATGGCGTGTACCCCACGGGATGCAACCCATGGGGTGCATGCATGTGTAACCACAGTCGCAAGCGACCACCTCCGATGTCCGTGCAAACATCCCATGCACCCGTAACTTGCTGACAACACTCACCCTTCAAACGACAACGACGATGACGATGACGATTTTGATGTCCATGACGACGGTGCGGACGAGGTCGACGACGACGATGGTGATGGTTGTAACGTTGATGTTGATGGTACTGACGGTGGTAACGATAACGCTGGCGATGATGATCAGGATGGTGTTGGTGAGGGTGATGTGGAAGCTCGCGCGCAGAGGTGCGACGAGGGCGAGAAAGGCTCTTGAGGCTTCAAGGTTGCCTCCGGAGGGGCTCCACTACTGGCCCAGTAGGTGCTCACGACTCCCGCAGAGGCTCCAAATTTGAACCCAAGAGAGCTTTAACAGGGCCCAAAGGCGGTCCAAATCCTGAAGATGCCAACACAGTCCAGCGTCCTTGGCGCCAAACTGGCCCCAAGCGTTCCACATCTGCCCCCAACCAGCCCCCAAGACGCCCCCAAGAGGCCTCCAAGAGCCTTCCAAGGGGCCTTTTCAGAGGTCCCCAAGAGATCCCCAAGATGCACGAAAGCGGGCCCTCGAGGCCCCCAGGAGGCTTCGCTAGGCGGGGGGTCTTCAGCGTGGGGTAGGAGGAGGGGTACGTCCCTCCTCGAAGGGGAATAAAGGGGGTTGGCACCGACGCCCAGAGGGATGTCGGGGTTCAAGGCATAGTTCTGCCAACATGGGGTATTCATCATGACAGTGCAGCTTGACTGCCCTGTCGCAGCTTTACTGCGTGTGCCGTGCGCAGTGTCTGACGTGGCAGCATTGCGGTAGCAGTCGCCACTGTCCTGGCAATCTATGCACGACGCCCTCCACTGATATCGCGCCTCCAGAGATTACAGACGGCAGACGTTCGCTTCGAGCGACTTTGGTTGCAATCTTTCGCTCGCGGATCCAGAGAATGTTTCATACAGTTTTTCCGGTTCCAGGATGCCGCGCCTGACATGGGCCACGGCAAGCTGCTGGGCACGTGCTGTACAGGTGCAGAGCCTTTTTTAATGATCGTGCGTGGCGCGCGTATTTGGAATTCATGGGGGCCCCCCTCTTTGCGATCCACATCGGCCCAAGACGTGGACACGTCTGTGTCCGCTGAACAGACATCCGACCAGGGTAGGGACATATGATAGATGGAGATCGGAACAGCGATGGCGATCGTTGGGTGTGGTGCGGAAGGGTGGGTTTGCCCAATGCTGGTTGCGCGTGCAGCTTTCAGATCTAGTTCGATCTTGAAAGCAGCGAGGGCAATGTCTGGCACGCATTGGTCAGCGTAAGGCAGCAAGAGGTTCGGCGTTTGCTACCGTGAGCTTGCCCGTTCTTTTAGGATTCCGCGGAGTTTCTCCTGTTCTGTCTGTATCTGGTCGTCTGTTGCTGTCCCTCGGCTGGAGCAAACATACACGGGGTGACCGACATGGGGCGGATGCGCACGCGCTCCAGTCAGCGAAAACTTCGTCATCGGCATCGCTGAGCTCACCAGCAGCTCACGTCGCGCTCCTTGCTGGAGTCCCTCCAACGAGTCGCTCATGGGGCGATTGGTGGCTGGAGGCATCTGCGAAATGTTGCGAAGGCCGTCCGGCCAGTGCCGCCGACCCTGAAGGGGGACGACGACGACGACGACGACGAGGAGGGATTTGTGCAATCGTTTCTGCTGTTCATGCGCTGATGCTCACCACTGCTATTTTTTTGCGCCCGAGCCCACTCTGGCGTTGAGGGTGCGGCAGGCCTCTCACGTCGGGCCAAGAGGTGGAGCGGCGCGGGCTAGTCTGTGGGACAGCTCGGCAAGGCAGCGCTGGGCCTCTCCCCTCGCACCTCAATGCGAAGAGAGAGAGAGCGGGGGAGGGAGGAACCACGTCAGACGACAAGTCCTTCCCCTCCTCGCCAACAGCGTGCCCATTCCAGACCTCCGACCTCGTGTCTCAAGACCCCCAGGTCTGAGGTGCGCATGGCCTCCGCATCCGCGTGTCGATCTGGCCACGTGTGTGTCCAGCTTCCTGGCAGGTGAGTCGGGCGACGACGAAGCCGACGACAGCGAACGTCGACGATGACGACGACAACGGCGACCGTCGACGACGAGGACGACGGCGACGACGACGACAATGACGACTTGCCGTATACGTCGTCGACGGCGACGGCGACGGCCGTCGACGACGACGACCGTCGACGACAACGACGCAGGTCGACGACGGGGGCCCCTCGGCTGCTTCTTCTGTGCAGTGGGCAAGAGGGCGGGCCGAGGCTGGGCGGCGGGGCCCTCTGGAACGCGGGCCCCCCCAAGGTGCCCTTTTGCGCCAGGGCTCTCGGGTTACGTCGGGCGTGTCCCTTTGCAGGAGGAGTTTCCAAAATAGTCAAAAAGTAGTCTGGGGACGATTTTTAAAACTATGTTTGACCATTTCGGATTCTCTTTTGACTTTTTAAAATGTCGCCCAAGATCCCCCTGTAGGAGAGGACACCCCCGACCTGATTCGTGGGGCTTCTCGGAGTGGCGCCCTGCGGCCCCCCACGCAAAACTACGACCAGAGCCATCCCAGGGGAGAAAGACGTACCGACACCGCTGCTCGCCCTGGAAAGAGCCCTCGTCGCCACGGCCGGATGCTCCTCGAGATTCTGATCAGAGCGCACCTTGGGAAAGGTCCAGGGAGCAGTGGCATCGGTACGTGGTTTCCCTGGCCGTGGTGACAGCGACGAGTCACGGCACCCCACACAAAACCGCGACCAGATACATCGATCCAACCGTCGTGCGCGATTCTTCGGCTATGGCCCCGCCCCCAAGGATCGAGGCTGGCGTTGAGAACTGCTGCGGGGAAGTTGGGTTCGAGGACTCCGCTTGTGACTTCTTCATTCGCGACATTATGTTTTTTTTTCACAGCGCAAGATCTGAGATCTCTCCCTTTTCAGTCCAGACGCTGGAGGGAGGAGAGGCTAGACCACCAGCGCCAGCGGGCTACTTTCATCGAGGCGGCCCACGGTGTCTCCCGAGCTGCAGGCTGGGGACGTCTCGAGCGGGACGCCGCAAAACGAGGGGACCCCGCAAAACGTGGGGAGCACACCACCACGAATACCCATCCCGGTTCCTCGCGAAGACGACGACGCGGCCAACGACGGCCACGACGGCCGCGACGGCGAAGACAACGACGCCGACGACGGCCACCACGACGACGACGCCGACGACGACGACACCGACGACGGCCACGACGACAATGACGCCGACGACGGCGGCGGCGGCGATGGCCAAGAGGGGTGGTGGACGGGGACGGGTGGCCCGCGGCCCACAGGCCGAGTACGACGAGGCCGACGCGAGCTGCGCGGGCGCCCCAGCTCTCCGCGGCACCCTTTGACAGCTCCTCCGTGTTTGCTTCGTCCATCTTGCCTTGCGGCACTGTTTGGTGCCCGGTTGTGTCCCTCTCGGCTGCCCTTCGCTGCATGGGGCGAAGACAAGATGCGGGCGGCAGGCGGCGATCATCCACGAGACATGAATGAGACATGAATGGGTCTTCCCGCACTGAATTCCTGGCCCCCACGAGTAACATCTAACCTTCGTGTAAGACCTGCCCGCCGGCGCATGCCGGAGACTTTCACGCTCTGAGGGCCGTCCCGACGCGCAGTGCCTCTCCCCCGTCTCTGCCTTTCGACCCTTCGTTCTTTCCCTCTCCCCAATTTGCTTCGTTGCGTCCCACCGTTGCCCTACCGCTAGTTGGATCCAAGTGGCCGTCGTCAAAAACGGTTTTGTGCACCTTGCCAGGCTCAGCACCAGCCCCAACTGCCGGGAGGACTTACGCCTCCGCCGAGCGCTCGACAGTACGATGCAAAGTGCACCGGGAGGACGGTGGGCCACCCGTATAATTCAAGAGGGGCGTCAACCTGAACATTGGCACGAGTCTCGAATCGGTGGTCAGGGCAAGGTCGACCGGAGCACGAGCGCTGCGGCAGTGACCTCGGCGCCCTCCGTCCCGAAGGAGAGAGCTGCGCGGTGCCCCGTGCACCTCTCCCGCAGCTCGCGGGCCCGGTGCGCACGACGTCACACGGGGTGGGCTTGTGAGCACGGGGGTCTGCCCGTCAGGATCCGCATGCGCCTCTCCCGCGCGAGGTCGCGGGGCGGCGAGTTGCCACGACGCTCGGGCCCCAGTCCTTCCGCTCGTCGCTGGGGCGGCGCACGATCCTCTCCTTCTCCCCTCCCCAGCCGAGGAGTCCTCCAATCATTGTTGATGCAAGCCTCCAAGAATTGCTGGGCTTGACGACAAACTTGCCGCGGCCCTCGTCCGAGCCGCTGTCCAGCCCTCCGCCGTTATCGGGGCGCGAGGACTGGGTGCCCCCGCGTGCGCAGCGGCATGGTCCATCCTCCTCGGGAAAATCGTGTGAAGAGGATGCGGAGGAGTACAAGGAGGGAAGGGGAGGAGCAGGATAAGGAGGAGGAGGAGGAAAAGGAGGAGAAGGAGGAGCATAAGGAAGGAGGAGGATGAGGTGAAGGAGGAAGAGCAGGAGAAGCTCGGCGCCCTCGCTGCGTGGAAAGCAGGGAGGAGGCGGAGCATGCGAAGGAGGAGAGGCAGAGGGGGGGAGGGGGTATGAGCATGAGCATGGGCATGACTACAACACGGTTCCTTACTGAAGAAGGGGAAAGGGGAGGTCGAGGAGGAGGCGGCGGGAACGAGAGGCGTAGGAGGGGGCGGGGCAGCCTCGGCGCCACGGGAGCGTCTGACACCTGCGTCGAGCCGAGGTCAGCGCACTTTCGGTGTCCGGCGCAGTCCTGGTGGCGCAGCTGTCCTCCCTTCTGGCGGGCTACACCTTCTACGCCAGCGTCGCCAACGAGGGGAGGGGGGGAGCTTTGCGGAGCCCGTCTAGCTTCGCGGGGCCCGCCTCGTTTTTCTCGGCTCCGCTTCCTGTGGTGCAGTGGGCATGGGACTGTGTCGTCTTTGCAGCTTGACAGTGGCGGCCGACGTGCGATCCTCTGTCTCACGCTGTTGCGCAGTTTCGCTATCGTGTTCTGCGGTGCATGAGGTCGGGGTGGTCAGTTGCGTCTGCGTGTAAGAGGCAACGAGGGGAGGAGGGGAGACGCATGCCTGGCAGGTATTATCGGAGGGCGCGAGTTCGTGCACTTCAGGCCCTCCCTGGCCAGGCCATCCTGGGCCCATGATCGGCGCAGATACATTCCTGGCCGAGCTACGAGGGAGCACGCAATCCATGCCTCAGGACGCCGCCCCTGAGCCCCAGGAGGTTCCAGGACCAAGTCTCCGACGGTTTGGTCGTTTCAATCCCAGCGTTCTTCTTTGATTTGGGACTCTGGGGTCCCTTATTGTTGGACCTCGGGACCATCAAGCATAGATGCGGGACGACACACCTTGGCGGCGCGCAGAGGGGCGTATGGTGCAGGGGCAGGCTTCTTAGAAGGAGGCAGCTTCTTAGAAGCGCGGGCCTTGTCTGTAGATGTAGGGCCCACGGCTTCTAAGAAGCAGCCTCCTTCTAAGAGGCCTTCCCATCTCCCCATGCCCCCTTCTGCGCGCCGCCACAAACCCACCCATGAGGAACAGGATCGGAGTGTGTGCCTTTCTGGCCAAGCTGGGAGGGGGCACGCAATCGTGGGCTCAGCATGGGCCCGCCCATGATCGGCGTAGGTGCACAGTTGGCGCCATCCTAATTTTCTTAGTTGCCGCCCCGAGTCCTGAACCGCCCAAAGAGCGTAATTATGAGGTCCCCCGCGGAGGCAATGGGAGGACCCTGGACACCTCCCCGAGGCCAACAGAGTGGGCACCTTTCTGGGGACGGAGGGGAAAAAACAGAGAATGAGGTTGACGATGCTCATGCGCAGGAAGAGGTCAGAAGGAATGTGCGCCTGGGTGAGGGGGAGCACGGTGAGGATGTATAAACGAGACGAGGGGACGGAGGAGGAGGAAGAGAAGGAGGAGGAGGAGGAGACGCCACAGCATCATGGAAAGCATGGAGAGTTACGTGGGGTAGGAAGAATGTACGTGTGACGAGGCGTATGTTAGGCAAGGGGTCGAGGATGCTGTTTGATAATGTTGGCGACGACGATGACGACGACGATGATCATGCTCCTGATGATGTCACTGTTGTAGTGGTGGAGATGATCATGATGACGATCACGATGGCGATGACGATGACGATGACGATGACGATCAAGACGATGATGATTATGATGATGGTAATGATTGTTATGATAGACAAGATGATGATACGGTTGCTGCTGATTATGCTGTTGACGATGCTGATGAGGATGATGACGATGCTGATGATGCTACTAATGCCGGTGATGATGATGGTGGTGGTGGTGACGATGCCGCTGCCGATGAGGATGCTGATGATGAGGATGACGATGCGGATACCGATGATGATGAAGGCGATTCTTATCATGGTGATGTTGATGTTGATGATACTGATGATGCTGATGCTGCTGGTGGTGGTGATGCAGATGATGACGGTGATGAAGTCGACGATGATGATGGTTTGGGAGTTGATGTTGATGACCGTGATGGTTATAAGGTTGATGAGAATTGTGCTCCTGCTGGTGATATTACTTTTGTTGCTGAGTATGCTCATTATGGTGATGATGAGGATGCTGACGATGACGATGCTCATGATGATGCTAATGATGATGATGATGATGATGATGATGATGATCATCATCATCATCATCATCATCATGCTGATACTGGTTGCTGATGATAATACTATTGCTTATAACGAGGCTGGTGATGATGATGCTGATGCTGTTGATGACGATGATGTTGCTGATGATGATGATGATGCTGATGCTGATGTTGCTGCTGATGATGATTATGATGATGATGCTGCTGATCATGATGATGCTGCTGATGCTGATGCTGATGCTGATGCTGATGATAATGATGATGATGATGATGATGATGATGATGATGATGATGATGATGATGATGATGATGATGATGATGATGCTGATTATGATGATGATGATGATGGTGGTGGTGGGAGCGGGGTGAGGAGGTTGACAAGGATGAGGGAGATGAGCGAGAGGGTGATATTGGGTAGGAGGGGGGAACTAGCTGGCGCTCGGCATCAGGTGGACACTCGCAGTGTTTACAACTCTCCGTAGGGCGGCTGGTGTTTGGCGGTTGGTGGTGGCTTTCCTGTCGCTCGATGTCTCCGGGGGTTGGGAGGGGGCGAGTGAGGCGAAGGAGGAGCAGGACAAGCAGGAGTGGGCGGACGAGAGGGATCAGGATGATGATGGGAAAGTCAAGGATCGAGTCTTCCGCAGATTTGTGGCTGGTTGTGGGGCCTTGAGAGGCCTCTGAAGACCTGAGCAGGGAAGAAGGAGGCGAAGTAGAAGGATGAGGAGGAGGATGAGGAAGAGGAGGAGGAGGAGGAGGAGGATGCGGAGGAGGAGGAGGAGGACGAGGAGGTAGGAGGAGCAGGAGGGCGGACAATTGATGCACACATGTGTGCACCACTCGGGCGCCAATATAGGCACGCTGCGTTGCCTGCCTCAAGTGGCCGTGGCATGGAGCGGAGGTTTGGAAGATTCGGACATGGCGCTCGAGGGACACCAACCACATGCAGGAAATTGTCGTGGAGCCCAAACACTTTCGTTTCGTTTCTCTCTCTCTCTCTCTCTCTCTCTCTCCCTCTCTATCTCCCTTTCTGCTTTCAGTTCTTTCGCGACGCCGCGCTGCTGCCGCCGACGATATCGACGAAGCTGGTGCTGACTCCGACGCAGACGCCGTGGATGACGGCGACAAGCAGGAGAAGATTGGGTGGAGCAGGCGGAGATTAAATAGGGGGAGGCGGATGAGGGGCAGGAGGAGGAGGAGCTGGCGCAGGTGCCGACGCTGACGCCACCGCCGCCGCCGACGACGAGCAGGAGAGCATTGGGTGAAGCAGGCAGAGGATGAAGGGGGGGAGGCGGATGAGGGAGAGGAGGAGGAGAAGGAGGAGCAGGAGGAGGAGGAGGAGGAGAAACAAAAGTACGAGAAGCAGGGATGGAGGAGGAAGGAGATGGGGGAGTGGGGGAGTGGGGGAGTGGGGGAGGACGTCGACCACTGGTTCGATGCGACGCTGGCGACGACCCCCCGACGACGCCCCCCACAACGACCATGGCGACGCCGACGCCGACGCCGCTGCCGACGATCGACGAGCGGCAAGTCCGCCGAACGGCGGGGGCGGGAGACCGTGCACTGCTGGCTTCACGCCGCGGGCTGCGTCGGCGTCGTAACCCTCGGCGTCAGCGTCGGCGACTGCGGCTACGTGTGGTGCCGAAGGGAGGCGAAAGGGGCAAGGGTGAGGGGGAGGAGGAAGATTTAGCGGGATTTCACGTTCTTGGGGCCGACGCGAGGGACTCGACACGGGCCTGCTTGAGAATGCATCCCCAGTTTTCCATGACTGACCTGACGGCTGGTTGGGGGCGAAGGGCCCCTGGAGGCCCGAGCAAACGAGATCGACTCTAGCGGCACTTGACCCCAGCGCTGACGGCCGATGGTATGGGTCCTTCCTTCTCGTGCACTGCCCCTCGCACGACTGCATCAGGGAGGAGGGGGAGGAGGAGGCGGAGGAGGAGGAGGAGGAGAAGGAGGAGGAGGAGGAGGATGGGGGTAAGCCCAGAATGCGTCAACGATGCTGCAGTGCACCCGCCCGTTCCAAGGTCCCTCCATGCACAAGTCCGCATACCTCTGCTTTTCCACTGCGGGAGGCGCCCCCTTGAAAGAGGAGCTCCCGACTTGCTCGCCACCCGGGTGCTGCTACTCAGAATCCACCCTGGATCCTACCGGTGAAGAGATTGGAGGAGCAAGTTTGGGGGAGTGTCCTGCGATAGCCTTGATCTGACGCAAACGCTTGCTCTCCATCCGTGTAGGTGTTGCAGGCTTTCAGAAAGTCCCTCTTTGAGAAGAAGGCGGCCTGCATCCGCATAACCCTTGCGCAGGTCGGATATCGGGTCATCGAATTCGCTGAGGTCTCCTCAATCGAGAGCCGCATTGTGAAAACGAGCCAGCCTCAATCTTTGTAATTATTGGAAGGTTTGGGAACGAGAAGCGAGATCCGCATTTTGAAAACGACCGGCCTTCCATCCATGACGCTTTTAGGGCATGTTAGAATGGATGTTCGCGGCGGCAAGGCCAGGGCCATATTTTCACAACGGATGGTCCTTCATCCTGAAATTGCTGCACAATTTGATCACGAATGTTCGAGGCGCCGCGTTTTGAGAACGACTAGCCCTCCATCCTTGCAATTGTTCCCCAAACAGTGCTGGTACTTAGGAGTCCCGATTCCGTCTAAAAGGAACTGGGCCTGCGTGTCGGTCCGGCCTCCTGCTCGTTGTCGCCGTCGCCGCCCGTCGCCGCCGTCTGTTGCCGCTGCTTCTGTGCCTGGGTCTCGGTCGCCGCGCTCGTTGTCGCCGTCGCCGCCCGTCGCCGCCGTCCGTCGGCCGCTCTATTGCCAAGGGCGCCCTCGAGGGCGCGAAGTTATTCGCGCTTCGCGCTTCGCGGTTCGGCTCCGATTCCTCCTCGTCCTCCTCTTCTCCCCTGGGGGGCGGCGCGAGAGGGCGAAGTTAGTCGCACTTCGCGCTTCGCGCAGCGCGAAGCGCGAAGTTGGGAGCCCTAGATTGCGCGTGGGTGTCAGTCGCCGCGCTCGCTGTCGCCGTCGCCGCCCGTCGTCACCGCCGTCGGCCGCTCGTCGCCGCCCGTCGCCGCCGCCGCCGCGTTGCACCCCCTTGTTGTATTCCATTCGGCTTCACTGCAGTCGACTGCTTTGCAATCGATTGCAATCGATCCTCAAGGGCTCCCTCGAGGGCGCGAAGTTATTCGCGCTTCGCGGTCCTCGATCCTTCTCCCCCTCCTCCTCGTCCTCCTATTCTCCCTTTGGGAGGGCGGCGCGAGAGCGCGAAGTTATTCGCGCTTCGCGCTTCGCGGAGCGCGAAGCGCGAAGTTGGGAGCCCTAGATTCTCCTTTCTAAAGAAAGGAATCGGTTCTCCCCCCCCCCCGGACTTCAAGACCCCCTGGGAACCGATGTAAAAGACAGGATTCTGGCCCAATGTCCACCCCACCTGTGAGTTCATACCATCCCAGAGACACCAGTATCGGTTCCCCTTGCCACCCTATGCAAACAATGGTATGCGCGCGCATTCGTTTATCACAAATCACAAGTTTTCAAGATTCCCTTGCAGACAATGGACGAAGTGCACACGCGCGTGTCGTCGCGCGCGCATGCCGCAGTCCTTCAAAAACGCTAGGTTTCGGAAGGATTTCAAAATCGAGCTCCCAAAAGGCATTGTACGACAACGCAGGGCTTCGCAACACTGATATTCTAAACAAGCTTACGCGCGCGCTCCTGCGAAATCTTAAGATAACCATCGGTTCTTCAATAGTTTCAAAAATCTACTACCAAACAGCCTTCGCGCGGGCGCATGTCGAAATCTTTCGAACACCTTTGCGCGCGTGCCGTCGCGTGAACCCTCTGCGACAAAATAGGGCGAAGGGCACACGCGCACGTCGTCGCACGCGCATGCCGAAATCTTTCAAAAACCTTAGGTTTCGGAAGGATTTCAAAACCGAGTGTCCGAAAAACATACAGGAACAAAGGGTTTCGCAACACGGATGTTCAACAAAAGCGTGCGCGCGCGCTCTTGCGTCGTCGTCGTCGTTGTCGCCGTCCTCCCTCCTCCCTCGTCGTCGTCGTCCCCGTCGTCGTCGTCGTCCCCGTCGTCGTGCTCTGTCTTTCCTCGTCATCGTCGTCTTGGCGTCGTCGTCGTTTCCGTCGTCGTTGTCGCGTGGTCGTCCTTCCTGACTCGTCGTCTTCGTCGGCACTTCGTCGTTGTCCCTCCTATTTCGTCGCCGCCGTCGTCTTCGTCGTCGTCGTCGTCTTCCCTCCTCCCTCGTCGTTGTCGTCGTCGACGTCGCCGTCCTCCCTCCTTGTTCGTCGTTCGCGTCGTCGCCGTCTTCCCTCGTCCCTCGTCGTTGTCGTCGTTGTCGCCGTCGTCGTCCTCCCTCCTTGTTCGTCGTCGTCGTCTTCGTTGGCGACGTAGTCGTCGTCGTCTTGGCGTCGGCGTCGTCGTCGTCGTCGGTGTCGTCGTCGTCGTCGTCGTCGTCGTTGTTGGCGTCGTCGAAGTCGTTGGAGACGTCGTCGGTGTCGTCGTAGTCGTTGTCGGCTGCGTCGTCGCAGTCGTTGTCGCTGTCGTTGTCGACGTCGGTGTCGTTGCCAAGTGTCATGTGGTACCCGCCGTCACAGTCTTAAGAGGTCTTGCGACCAAGTTGCGGGTGGCAGGGTTGGATGTTTGCACGACAAGTGATTGATTTTCCTTTCTAAAAATAGAATAGATTCTCCCCCCACCCCCCCGGGCGTTATCCGCCCCCCTTTCGGGTACGTAGATCATATACGATTTTGACCACATGTTCATCCTAAATATGAATTTACACTATCCCAGGGGGGCCGGTATCGGTTCCCCTGAGGTTCCTTTGTAAAGAACAATTCGCGGGGACATTTTTTGTTTTAACATAAGGCTTTTTCACGAGTCCCTTGCAGAAAACGGGACGAAGTGCACACGCGCGCGTCGTCGCGCGCGCATGCCGAAATCCTTCAAAAACCTTCGGTGTCGGAAGGATTTCGCAATCGAGCTTCCAGAAATCAAACAAAAACGCATGGTTTCGCAACACTGATTTGCTAAACAAGTTAACGCGCGAGCTCTTGCGAAATCTGAAGACAGCCACGGGTTTTTCAAGATTTGCACAAAATGCTACCAAACGGGCTCCGCGCGCGCAAGTCGAAATCTGTCGAACGCCCTTGCGCGTGTGCCGTCGCGAGAATCCTCTGCAAACAATGGGACGAAGTGCAAACGCGCGCGTCGTCGCGCGCGTATGCAGAAATCCTTCAAAACCCATCGGTTTCGGACGAATTTCAAAATCATGTGTCCAAAAACCTACAGAAAGACAAGGTTTCGCAACATGGATTTTCAACAAAAGCGTGCGCGCGCGCTCTTGCGTCGTCGTCGTCGTCGTCGTCCTCCCTCCTCCCGCGTCGTCGTCGTCGTCGTCGTCGTCGTCGTCGTCGTCGTCGCCTACGTCGTCCTCTGTTTTTCCTCGTGTTCGTCGTCGTCGTCCTCTTTGGCGTCGTGGTCGTTTCCGACGTCGTTGTCGCCGTGGTCGTCCTTCCTCCTCCTCCGTCGTCGTCGTCGTCGTCCGTCGTCGGCGTCTCCTCGTCGTCCCTCCTATTTCTTCGTCGTCGTCGTCGTTGTCGTCGTCGCCGTCTTCCCTCCTCCCTCGTCGTTGTCGTTGTCGGCGTCGCCGTCCTTCCTCCGTCTTCGTCGTTCGCGTCGTTGCCGTCCTCCCTCCTCCCTCGTCGTTGTCGTCGTTGTCGTCGTTGTCGCTGTGGTCGTCCTTCCTCCTCCCTCGTCATCGTCTTCGTTGGCTACGTCGTCGTCGTCTTCGTCGTCGTCGTTGGCGTTGGCGTCGTCGTCGTCTTCGTCGTCGTCGACGTCGGCGTCGTCGTCGTCGTCGCCGTCGTCGTCGTTGTCGTCGTCGTCGTCGTCGTCGGCGTCGTTGACGTCGTCGTCTTCGTCGTCGGTGTCGTCGTTGTCGTCAACGTCGGCGTCGTCATCGTCGTCGTCGTTGTCATCGTCGACGTCGTCGTCGCCGGCGTCGGCGTCGTCGTCGTCGTCGTCGGTGTCGTCGTCGTCGTCGTCGTTGTTGACGTCTTCGAAGTCGTTGGAGGCGTCGTCGGTGTCGTCGTAGTTGTCGTCGACGTCGTCGTCGTCGTTGTCGCTGTCGTTGTCGGCGTCGCTGTCGTTGCCAAGTGCCATTTGGTACCCACCGTCACGGTCTTAAGAGATTTTGCAAACCGAGTTGCGGGTGGGAGGGTGGGATGTTTGCACGAGCAGTGGAGAGGACAACTCACTGCGAGCAGAAATGAATAGCACCACGTAGATTCCCTTGTCAAAAAGAAACAAATTCTACCATCCTTCCCCCCCAGGGTTAAAGACCCCTCGGGAGCCGATGCAAAACACGTAGGATTCTGGCCCAATGTCCATCCTACCTGTGAAATCATATCATCCCAGCCAAACCGGTATCGGTTCCCCCCGCCAACCTTTGCAAAAAATACTATGCGCTTATTCGTTTACCAAGGATCAGAAGTTTTCGAGAATCCCTTGAAACAAATGGGACGAATTGCTCACGCGCGCGTGGTCGCGCGCGCATGCCGCAATCCTTCAAACACGTTCGGTTTCGGAAGGATTTCAAAATTGAGTATCCAAACCACATAAAAAAAACACAAGGTTTCGCGACACTGATTTCCTAAAAAAGCTTAAAGGCACGCTCTTGCAACATCTTAAGAACACCATCGGTTTTTCAAGGTTTTCAACAATCTACTACCAAACGGCCTTGGCGCGTGCATGTCGAAATCTTTCGAACGCCCTTGCGCGCGTGCCGTCGCGAGAACCCTCTGCAACAAAATAGGGTGAAATGCACACGCGCGTGCCGTCGCGCGCTCATGCCGAAACCTGTCAAACACCTTAGGTTTCGAATCAATTTCAAAATCGAGTGTCCGAAAAACATACAGAAACAGAGGGTTTCGCAACACGGATGTTCAACAAAAGCGTGCGCGCGCGCTCTTGCGTCGTCGTCGTCGTTGTCGCCGTCCTCCCTCCTCCCTCGTCGTCGTCGTCCCCGTCGCCGTGCTCTGCCTTTCCTCGTCTTCGTCATCGTCTTGGCGTCGTCGTCGTTTCCGTCGTCGTTGTCGCGTGGTCGTCCTTGCTGACTCGTCGTCTTCGTCGGCATTTCGTCGTTGTCCCTCCTATTTCGTCGCCGCCGCCGTCGTCGTCGTCGTCGTCGTCGTCGTCTTCCCTCCTCCCTCGTCGGTCGTCGGCGTCGCCGTCCTCCCTCCTTGTTCGTCGTCCGCGTCGTCGCCCTCCTCCATCCTCGTCATTGTCGTCGTTGTCGCCGTCATCGTCCTCCCTCCTCCCTCGTCGTCGTCGTCTTCGTTGGCGACGTCGTCGTCGTCGTCGGCGTCTTCGTCGTCGTCGTCGTCTTGGCGTCGGCGTCGTCGTCGTCGTCGGCGTTGTCATCGTCGTCGTCGTCGTCGTCGGCGTCGTCGTCGTCGTTGTCGTCGTCGAAGTCGTTTGAGACGTCGTCGGTGTCGTCGTAGTCGTTGTCGGCTGCGTCGTCGTCGTCGTCGTTGTCGTCGTCGGCGTCGGAGTCGTTGCCGAGTGCCATGTGGGACCCGCCGTCACGGTCTTAAGATATCTTGCGACCAAGTTGCGGGTGGGAGGGTGGGATGTTTGCACGAGCAGTGGAGAGGACAGCTTCAAGTTGAGCCAGAGATTGATTACACCGCATAGCTTGCACCACACATATTGCACTAGATATCTGACAGAACTTCATACATTGCACAACATAAATTGCACCATACATCTTGCGCCACCGAGCTCGCACCACACCAAATACACTACACCGCAGATATTGCTTAACGTAGTTTGCACCACGCAGCTTTCACAACGCATTGTGGACCACAGACAGTGCTCCACATTGATTGCACCACATAGTTGACACAACATAGTTTGCATCACATTTACTGCACAAATACATGGCACCACATAGCTTACACCAAATAGCTCACACCACATATATGAATTCGCCCGCTTTACGTAGCTGACTGCACGCATTGTGCCCTGCATAGACTGAACTACTTAGATTGCACGCCACATAGTTTTCATCACACAGATTGCACCACGCATCTTGCACCACGTAGAGTCTCCTCTTTAATATAAGAATGAACTCTCCCCCCCGGGGATTATCCAACCCTTTGTTCGCATTGCAATTTGCATCTGACTCTGCCCCATCGCCGATCCTCAATATGAACTCATGCCATCCCAGCCGGGCCCGTGCCCGCCCCCACCGCCACTCTTTGCAAAAAAATCTGTGCGCGCACTCGTTTATCAACAATTGTCCATTTTCAAATATGCCTTGCAAAAATGAGACGAACTGTACACGCGCGCGTCGTCGTGCGCGCATGCTGGAATCTTTCCAACACCTGCGGTTCCGTAAGGATTTCAAAATCGAGTGTCCAAATAACATATACACATGCTTTCGCAACACGGATTTTCAAAACAAACTTGCGCGCTCGTTCTTGCGAATTCTTAAGAAAGCCATCGTTTCTTCGACATGTTCAGAACATGTTACCAACCGGGCTTCGCACGCGCATGTCGAAATTGTTCGAACGCCCTTGCGCGTGTGCTGGGGTGGCACGGTCCGTATCAAATAATTCCATGCGGGCCACTCTCGCGCGTCTGCCGCGCCGGCGGATGAGGGGGGGAGAGAGAGAGAGAGGAGCGAGGAGGTCGGACCGAGGAGTGAGGGAGTAGGAGGGCGACGAGGGAGGAGGAGGAGGAGGAGGAAGAGGAGGAAGAGGAGGAGGAGGAGGAGGAGGAGGAGGAGCAAAGAAGAGCGATGAGGAAGGTAGAGGAGGGCGGGGTGGAGAAGCGCAGGGGGGGTGGAGGAGGGAGTGAGAGGTGGGGGTAGGAGGGGGGAGGAGGAAGGAGGAGGAGGAGGAGGAGGAGGAGGAGGAGGAGGAGAGCGAGGACGGGGAAGTCGAGAGGGGCAAGAGGATTGGAGAAGAAGGGAGACGGTCCCTCCTCCCGCCTGCCCCACTGCGCGCGTGGAAACGGGACGGGGGAGAAGGAGGGCGGATGGGAGGGGGGGGGCGGTCAAGGATGACATGTTTCTCTGTTATGTTGTCACCGTGGTCCTCGAGGGGCTCATGTGGTTCCACGCGGAGGCTTTTGCGAATTGGTCCAGGGATGAGGACACCACAACGAGGGTCAGGAAAAACAAGCAGGATAATCATGCTGACAAGTGGAATGGTGATGAAGATAATCGTGAAAAGGAGTAGCAAGGTTGGGGATGAATTGGAGGGGGGAGGCGGACGATCATTGGGAGGATGGCGTACACCCCGCAGAGTCTTAAGGAAAAAACAGCCACCTTCGTGAACTTCAGATGTCGTTCAAGAAGGTCAAGCATTTGGACTGGACCCTGGGCGTAGTGTACCTCTGGACCTGGACTACCGTTTAAGGATACGCTCGGGGTGATGTCCGCTCTCTTAGCTTAACATGTTCGAGACTGAGCAGGGGTGCACATATATTTGCGGACGGCATGAACAGGAGCAGGAGAAAGATAGCGACGGTGGGGAGGGAGGGAGGAGGGGAGGAGGAATTATATGATATTGCAGGGGTGGAGGGAGGACGAGAGGAGGCCACCGGGAAGGAAGCAGAGGAGGGGCCCAGACCCTCCAGCCCAACTCTCGGAACTCCCCACGCCTTCCCTGACCGCCCGAACAGTCTCCCGAAGCGGGCCTCGAGCAAGGAGAAGCCGATGCCTTGACGGGTGTGTGTCTCAATGCGCTAGCTGGCTTGATGCAGGAGTAACGATGCGGGAGGAGGAGGAGGAGGAGGAGGAGGAGGAGGAGGAGGAGGAGGAGGACGAGGAGGAGACGCCTGGACCCTGAATGCCGGGGCGGATCCAGCCGTGGCCACGACAGGGCGCCCCGGGATGCTCGGGTCGGCCGGACAATTGCCCGGAGCCCCGAGGTTGTTTTTTTTTGTTTGTTTCACATCTTTGACCCCCAGAGGTCCAGACATGTTGCGTGGGACCGGCGCTTCATCCTGAGCCGTTTCTTTGTGGCCTCGAGGTATCCCAGAGGCCAAGGGCAAGGACAAGTCTCCCGTTGATATTTGTTTGTCTCGACTTGATGGGGTCTGGACGCCTTCGTCCTGGAGCCTGGGAGAAGGAGGGCGCTGGGCGTGGCGGAAAGTGATGAGGAGGAGGGTGAGGAGGAGGGCGTATAGATTGAGGAGGAGGTGGAGTCGAGGGTGGAGGAGGTGGAGGTGGAGGTGGAGGTGGAGGAGGAGGAGGTTCGAGGAGGAGGAGGTGGTGGAGGACGAGACGAGGTGGTGGAAGAGGCGGAGGAGGAGGAGGTGGAGGAGAAAGAGGAAGAGGAAGAGGAGGAGGAGGCGCCGTTCTCGGCCCTCGAGCCCAGGAGGAGGATACTGACAATGAAGAGGAGGAGGATAGGAGGAGAAGGAGGAGGAAAAGGATGAACACGACGACGACTACGAGGAGGACTACGGGGAGGCGGACATGAGGACGAGGAGGAGCAGAGGAAGCATGCCGCGAGACGAGGACGAGGAAGATGACTGCGCAGGGAGGGTCGGACCGTGGCCTTGCGCTCTCCTGCCCCCCCCCTCGGCTGGGGCCAGGAGCGGCCAAACGCATGCCACTTGCCCCGTGGCGGGACCTGCCCCCCCTGAATTATGGGGCCCTCCTCCTCCTCCTCCTCCTCCTAGCCAACCCTCCCTCATACGCCAAGTGATGGTCCTCCTCCTCCTCCTCCTCCTCCTCCTCCTCCTCCTCCTGGGCGGGGCGCGTCCTCCGCGCCGTCCCCGTGGCGGGGCGCTCCCCGCTCCTCGCGGCCAGCGCAGGTACCTTCTCGCAGCCGTCGGGGCGCTGGGCTCGGCGGCCTCCCGGCCGCGCTCCCGGCGTCTCGAAGAGCCGGCGGCCCCCTTGGGTGAAGTCGGGCGTGTCCTTCGACAGGAGGAATATCCCAAACAGATTCAACAACATCGTATGGGGACGTTTTTTTAGTATTTATGGGCATGTGTTGAATTTATGTTGACCATGTTAATGTTTCGCCCCAGATCCCCCCGCAGGGTAACAGGCTCAGCCTGACCCTTGGGGCGTGGTCAAGGAGCAGGGCTCCAGTCGACTTCTTCGAAGCGGTTCGATATCGATGGCTTCCGATTCCGGTTCGGTTCGACCTCGGATTCCGATGCGGATTCCGAGTTCTCAGTGGAGGCCTATGAACCTGCCGAGCTCTGCCGATCCGATTTTGTTCTCGACTTGTCTTCCGAGCTCCGCCGGTCCGATGCACGTCGATCGCCGTTCCGGCTCATCGATTCGATTCTGGGCTCTCCTGAGAAAATTGTTGTGTTCTTTCTTCCCAGACCCCCTCGGCGTCTTATGCGAGTCACGACGTGAGATGTTCGGCAATGTTCTGCATCTGAGGGCCCTCACCGGGCTGCGGGACCTTCCAACAACGACTCAGGATCGGCGTCACGCCAACATATTTATTTAATCTCTTCGCTCATTCCGCCGGCCCGTATTGGTGCACGGCTGTCGAGTGCCCGTGTGATCGTTGTCAATGGGGTGCTGCTGGGTCGTTTTTTTGTTGATGGATGGCTGGCTTTGGGTGATTTCGCAGGCGGGAGCCATTCTTTGCTCGCCTGAACCTTCTGTTTCGGAAGGCGGCGGCTCGTGAATACGATCGCAGGGAACAAGACAACATTCTGCAATTTCCTTTTTGCATTCTTCGGGCCCCTTGTCGCTTGTTGGGGCCTGTTAGGAGCTTCTTGGGGCGTCCAGGAAGCCTCTTGGAGCGGAAGGCTCGGATTTCGGTTCGTGGTCTCCATCTTGGGCCTCTCTTGCGGCCCTCTTGGGGTCCTCTTGGACCGTCTTGGGCGCTTCTTGTGCTGTCGTGGGGCCCTCTTGGGCGGTCTTGGGCCTCTCTTGGAGGCCTCTTGGGCCGTCTTGGGGTGGTCTTGGAAGCTTCTTGGGCCGTCTTGGAGCGTCGGAAAGGCGAAAAGGCGAGGAAACCAAAAACCTTGAAAAACCAAATGGAAATCAATGGTTTTTGCGCTCAGAGGCTTCGTGGACGTTCATTAGGATCTCGTTGGATGCCTCTCGAGGGATTCTTGGAGACTCTCGGGAGTCGTTGTCGAGCCTCTTGGGGTCTCTTTCGGACCCCTTGTCGCCTTTTGGGGCCTCTTGGGGGCCTCTTGGAGCCTCCAGGAGGCCTCTTGGAGCGGCAGGCTCGGATTCTCGGTTCGTGGTCTCCATGTTGGGCCCCTCTTGCGGCCCTCTTGGGGTCCTTTTGGACCGTCTTGGGCGCCTCTTGGGCTGTCGTGGGGCCCTCTTGGGCGGTCTTCGGGCTCTCTTGGGGGCCTCTTGGGCCGTCTTGGGGTGGTCTTGGAAGCTTCTTGGGCCGTCGTGGAACGTCGAAAAGGCGAAAAGCTCAGGAGCGCAAGAGGCGCCCAAGACGGTCCAAAAGGACCCCAAGAGGGCCCCAAGAGAGGCCCAACACGGAGACCACGAACCGAGAATCCGAGCCTGCCGCTCCAAGAGGCCTCCTGGAGGCTCCAAGAGGCCCCTAAGAGGCCCCAAAAGGCGACAAGGGGCCCGAAAGAGACCCCAAGAGGCTCGACAACGACTCCCGAGAGCCTCCAAGAAGCTCTCGAGAGGCATCCAACGAGATCCCAATTAACGTCCACGAAGCCTCTGAGCGCAAAAACCATTGATTTCCAGTGGGTTTTTTCAATGTTTTTGGCGTCCTCGCCTTTTCGCCTTTCCGACGCTCCAAGACGGCCCAAGAAGCTTCCAAATTGTGAGGGTAGCTCTTTGGGAGATGTTATATAGGATCGAGAGTATAGCTCGCGCGCCGTTGCCTTCGGCTCAAGGCACGCGCGCCCTATTTGCCCGGACACTGCTGGTGTTCGCTATGTGCTGGAAAGAACATTACATCGATCTTATCCTATCTTATCCGTCCACTCCCCATACTGAGCTACCCCAGCATGGCATTGGACGCTATCTGCCATCCGTTTCCCATGGAATCGGATGCTATTTGACTTACCATAGTCACTTCAGACTTGGTAGCGGAGCTGGCCGCATTCTCGTGTGGTCAGCTCTTGCTCTTCTTATCCTCACGCTATCCGGCACGATCTTCGTGACCAACTACCACCCTGCGCCACCACTCCAACTACATTTACGAGGATCAATTCAAGAGCAAGAAGCAACACGAGAGGTACGACGTCTAGACAACAACATCGGTACCATATACGCTTCATCACTACGCTACTACCAACCGCTCGGCAGCGAGCCAAAAGCGCAGTACTTGAAGCAGAGGCGGGGAGACCCGCAAGATAAAGCGCCTCGAAGACTTGACAAGGCGCTACCCCAGCGCGGCAACGCGCCTGATAACCACCCATATCTTCACAGCCTTGGGTTGGTTATCTTCGCCATCATATGGTTTGCGCTGGGGGCAACAATCGGACACATGCGCCGAGGAGACAACAGCACCGATGGGCAAACACATGGCCCATACTGGGACCCTCAAGGCAACGTACCTTTTCCGATACTACGTCTATGAGGTCAACGCGTGGCTCAACGTCACAAGCGGGCGCATGACGCCACAGGCCCAAGCAGCCGCCATACAACGCGGCCTGGGCGGCCTAGAGAGGACACTCGCCATGAGGGTACCACCTGACATTATAAACTACGGTGCGGACATCGACGGTGTCCACACCGACCCAGTAACCTACATCATGTTCCTCTTAAGCATGAAGTTCGAACGCCTGGAAGATGAGCGCCAGCTCCCTTCAGGCACACAGCTCATCGACTTCCATGTGCCTCACGGAGAACGAATCGATGTAACCCTCACTCGGTTCGAGATGGCCCGTCTTGAGGCACAGTCGGTGGGGCTTGACCTTCCCAACTTCCAACTGCTCACTACTATCCTATTCCGCGCCCTGGGCGCCGGCAGCCAGAGAGCCATGCAACTCTTGCAGCCACTTAACCACCAAATGCCCCGAACACAACAACAATATGATGAGTTGTGCGAGAGGATGCGTTCGATAGGCCACTTGTCAGAACGGTCTCCTGGTAACATAGGATCAGTGTTTGGGAAGGGGAATGGGGGCTGGTAGTGGAAATTTCTATACTGCCTTAACCGCCGAAGCTCAGCCTGGCAACGGGCCCGCAAGCATATGGGCCGACGACCCTGGAGAATCTACTGCCCTACTAACAGGGGATCGATCACAACCAAGCTGGGCAACCAGCCCTCCTCCTAGAGAACCTCAACCACGCCGTTCCTTATGGGGGGGAGCGAATCCCCTAAACAACGGTGTATCCACCTACCTAGGAAATGACGATTTCGACTCTGGCACCGACACCGACACCATATCATCAGATGGTATTGAACCCTTAGACTGGTCAGAGATCATGCAAATGGAAGGTGACAGCCAGCGTGCCGAACACCTGTTCTGGTTATTACAACAGGCGAAGCGGAGGTGGAGGAGGTTCACACGAACGCCAGTGCGTCGTGTTAGGAGGAGGATACGGAGGAGCTTCAAAGGAAAAGGTAAAGGCAAACGGGGTCGCCGTAGACTGAATGGACGAGGCATCTCGGCTTTCCTCCAGAGGCTCTCAGATGATCAGTATGATGAGATATTTTTCGGGGGGAAAGGCCGTGGTAAAGGCCGTAAAGATACCTCAGGCAAAGGTAAAGGTAGGCGGGGAAATCCGCGAGGTAGAGACGGCCAGATCCTAAAGTGCCATGGGTGTGATCGTACCGATCATATTGTAAAAAACTGTCCAGCGAAGGGAAATGGAAAGGACAAATCGACCGAAGTCCATTTCGGCTCAAGTGAACCAGTTATTGAATATCTGAGCCTCCAAGATTTCGAGGCCATGGAACAGATATTTGCCACTTGGGCCAGCAGCATGGACAACTTGGATGAGCTCGAGGCGCACGGCCACGGACTGTACGCGTACTACCTCGAGTACCTCCGCAGATCTGTTCTCGGAACTATCGAGCTTACGCCTGTGGAGAATGGCACGCTGGGAAACCAGCCCTTATCCTTCTTCGACTGGATGTTCGGCAACCCAGGCAACATCATGGCCCACGAGAGCAGTGACGAGGATGTCACTGTTGAGGCCTCGCCTTCGGCGGTTGACCAGAACCTTGGGCATCGACCCGACCTTATGCCTGGAAACAGGCCCACTCCCGTATATCCTCCAAATTATGCCGATCTGATGGAATTAGAATCTCAAGCATTCACTACGGGCGTGCCAGGGAACCCATACGTACCACCTGGCTCGCTCGCTCCAGGCGAGTACGGACCGCACGCGATGCTGCAAACCCTCATGCAGATGCACGCTGTATCGGTCGTAGCATATCCCGAGCGTCAAGAGAGTGTCGAAAGTGGCCACATGATGCTGCAAGACACCGATGCCTGTGACGACTCGGAGCTAGTGCTGGCGGCCCTTACTCTCATCGACAGTGTGCACCCTGAGGACGTGCAACGACATGTGTGGCATTCCAGAGGGAGATGGCGCCAAGCTCTTGAAAGGGCCATCTCCATGCATGGTCAGGCTCTTCCTCCGCCAGGATGGGGTCTCCAGGCGGCGGGATTACTTCCCAACCACACGGCCGTGCGAAATATTATCGGGCAGCCTACACATGACTATGATCATCCCGAGGCGCACGCCATGCTCGGTAACGAGCCTGAGCCGACTACCGTACCGCCGACGCCGGGACAGCCAAGCGATGCTCAGACGCTTGTACAGCAGGGAAACCTGCCTGTCCCGGCTGGACCGATGACCGTCGTCATCGGCAACCCTATGTCAGAAGGTGAGGAGGGTGATGGATGTGGGATGTGCGAGGACGAGAC